GACACCGACTTGCTTGGCGAGTAAGATGTGCTCCTTCGTCGCCGTCGGCCCCGGAGACGACGAGAATCAAGCCATACCTCTTAGCGGCGCCGGTGGTGAATGGCTAAAGAATGGCTAAAGCAGAAAAAAAAAAAAAACTCAGACGGGGGAGGCTGAAGAGAAAACGGGAGAGAAAAGGAAAAGAAAACGAAATGGAGAAAACACCTTTTTTTTCGTTTTTTGATTTCCACAAAACGACAAAAACGATTTTGTTTTTGTTTTTTAAAAAAACTTACACCAAACGCGTTTTTAACATCCGTTTTTAATTTTTTACTTTGAAAAATGTGAAAAATAAAAATAAAAACAAAAACAAACAGGCTCATTGTATTTCACTTTCAACGAAAATTCCTCTTTTTTCATGTCCGTTAATTCCTCTATCAAGCGTGTCCCAATTAAATCATTCAAATACAATACATTTTTTAATTAGTAGAAAAACACAATTACTCTCTTTTGAATCTAAAAACAGCTCTGAATTATTATTATTATTATTTTAAAATTGTGAGAGTGAAACAGTCCACCTTTTGATCTGAATGAAATTTGTAAGCTATTTAATTTTTCTTCTATGTAATATATATATATATATTTTACAAAAGAAATTTGTTATACGGATTACAAAAGCCGAAAAAAGAAAGTGGAGTTTTCATTCTTTCTTTATCGTTCCAACAAATAACGTAACAAAAACTCTTGTAGTTCGGTTCAAGATCTTTTGAAAGGATGAATCAAAACTGCAATGGTTGCTCTTGAATAAAGCTATTAAGTTTACAGATGCACGAAGATATATTGGGAGAATTAGGGGAATGCCCCTCCAATGAGGAGAGATAGAGATTTATACCCCTCCTCACGCTTTTAGGTTTATACCCCTCTACTCTTGGTATTTAAGTTGCAACAATCTTCACTATTCAAAGTCATATGGATCGGTCGCCGGAGTCATCCAGATGACTAGTGATCATCTGTCAGAGTTGGTTACCAACGGCAATTGCAGTAGTTATGTGTATGGTTGCTTCCGGCTATTGGTCTTTCGTCGGAGTTAGTCGGATGGACCTGAATGACTAGTATGACCATCATCATCTTTCAAAGCGAAAATCTTCAGTGTGATCCAAATGATTTGGGTCGAGCAGACTCGATCAATGCAACCAGACACCAGAGTCGTCCTTATCACCTCCACCGATCGATCATGTGTCGTAGTTAGTCATCAACATCGATCACAAAGTCATCCGCCGGAGTTAGTCGCCAGTAACCAAAGTCATCGTCTTGTTAAAAGACCAATAGTCATTCTCTGAAGTTGCTGGATGATCGATGGTCATTCGACTAAATCCTACACCAACAAACGCTACAAAGTGCAAAAGTAGATAAATGGTCAACATTGGATCTACCCTCTTCATGGTCAGCGTCGTGGGACACCAAATATGCACGACACCCTGATACACAATAATGTTCCACCACCTGTGCGGTAGCAAGACTACTACACAATAATTTTTGGAATTGCTATGTTTCAACGACTCTACTTTGATTTGATCCCCCTTTCCTTTCGGCTGTTTAATGAAAGTCTGAATAAAATAATAAAATAAAATAAAAAATTGCTAAGGGCAATTGTTAAAAATACTCTTTAAATGGAGCATTTTTATTTCTATGCTTTAATATTAACTCATATATTTTTACCTTTCAATTAGAAGTAATTAAGGAGTAGAGTTTTTTTTATTAAAAAAAACATTTTTAATAAGTCGAGTAATTTTTTGTCATTTTTTAAAATAAAAAATTTACCCCTAAGAGCATAAATCTTGATAAATACCTTTTTATTAATGTAATTACTTAACTAAAAAATTATAAATTAAGAGTAAAAAATAAAAATTCACTGTTAAAGAATACTTGTCAAATACTTGTCAAGATTATCCTTTTTAGAAATGAGTGCAAGAACATTTAGAAAATGTAATTTCATTCAATTCCGGGCTTTAGGCCCGATATGTCCATTACGTTAGGGGGCCGTGCAACAGATTAGGCATACAGGAACTAACATAAAAAGGTCGAGCCAATTCAGGCTATGATAACGCCAGTTCCGCCAGTCTCATTTTCCTTCATATTTTCCCCTTAAGACTATAAACATTATTAAAAGTCAGTCCCAGATTTTTCTGCCACGCACATTCTGCAACAAAAAGGTCTAAAGAAGAGAACAAATGAAATGGGCAAATGGCCTTTCGGAATCCTAGACAAGACAAGTCAGCGTGTAACCTAGCAGCAATGCTTGTTTAGCATTTTCCATCGACTTGTTTAGTTGTTTGTAGTGTAACCAATTCCTTTAGGGAAATCACTACAACTTAAAACATGTCACAGAACTGCACAAAAGCTGGGATGGCAAGTGCGAACGAACGACTATAAACATTGATTTTCCCCAACCAAGCCACTTTCAATACCAAGTTTTGACGACTTGAACATAATATAACACCAGAGCACAATAACATAATCAAAATCAAACAATATGCATCAGAATAGCAAAAAGCCCAAGTAGCTGACAAAATCTCATAATTATGTGAAGAAGAAGAAACTAGTCTCTTCAAATAGAACATCAACTAAAACGCCCAATTAAACCAAAGAAGATCCACTTACCATATTACTTAATACCAGAGTCAAAAAAGTAACTACCAACCGTCTTCTGGTACACAGAAGGTCTCATAACCAAACAACATTAATAAAAACAACACCTAGTACCGCCTTCGGCCAAATCAAATAAAAACAGCTCCTAGTACCTCCTTCCAGGTGCGCCCCGGCCAAAACCTTGGGTGGGAATCACAGGCTGTGGCTCCACTTCGGTGAGGCCAGGAAGGTCAGACATGCCAAGAGCAGAAAGCATGTCAAGTGTCTCCTTGTCAACCTTAATTTCGTCCGTCTTGATGGCTGACTCATCAGGAACAAAGTCCATGCGACGCTCACGCTCCTCCTCTTGCAGCTTCAACGAGATGCCCCTCACTGGACCCTTCTGAATTCTCTTCATAAGGTGAGTAGAGAACCCGGCAATCTTGTTCCTGAGCCTCTTTGTGGGAATGAGGGCAACCTCTTCCAAGATCTTCTTGTTGGTGTGGAAATCCAACGTCATTCGAGAGTAGTACCTCTCAATCACTTGGCGCGAGGACTTCTTCACAGTCTTGGTGCGAACACGACCCATTTTAGAGAGTTAGTAGGAACTCCTGCAGCAGGATTTAAAAGAAGAAAAATAAAGTTAGCAGACAAAACATGTTTCTTGGAAAAGGGAAAGTAAATTAATCATAATGAACCAAATCAAACATTTTATGGAGCTCTGGAAACAACAAAACATGAATGGCTTAAACCTAGTTCCAGAACAAATGAAGGCAGGCAGGTACAATAAACAGACATTCAAGTCTAGTTCATCTTTAGCGATTCACTTTGCAGGCAGCATCCTTAAAAAACTACTACAAGGACAGCAAAATAATTCAAAATTTTGACATTGCATTTTGCGTAGGACAAAGTTTGATTCTTTCAACCTAGAGAGCTAATAAAAAACAAGCGAATCAGCATGTGAAGACGCGGGCGAAAAAACAAAGAGAAAGTAAAACATTCTCTAACATAAGTAGTGACCACAAATACAAAATCTCGGCTAACCAACAATCATTACTAACAGGAAATGAGAGGAAAAAGAATTCATTAACTACGCATAACACATAAATCCGAAATAGCAAATCTATAATTGAAATATAGCACAAGTAAAAGAAAGTATGCATCTTCAATACGAGCAAGCAATTCATTCCAGCAATAGATCCAACAGCATATTTTTCTTTCTTTTTTTTTTCCAGTTACATATACTGGGTTTTCGGTTATAATAAAAACGTCAAAAATCTTCACTTTTAACCATCAGCAAAAGAAACAGATCAACCAACATATTGAACAAATTTGCGAGTGAAGACAAAACAAAAGAAAACGAAACAATTATTAGTCAAAAGTGGAGGTAGAGACCAGTAATCAAGCACAGATTCAACAGCAGAACGAGTAATTGCAACAAGATTACACAAGTAAAAGAAAAACAAAAAAGAAACTTATGAACAAGAAAAATCTGCTTGGTTACCGAGAAAAACGAAAGGAAAATAAAGGATCTTCGTCATGAAAAAGGAAATTGAAATGTTAATCGAGAAGGAAAAGGAAAAAGCTTACGAGTGAGAAGAGCGAGAGGAGGAGGATTTCTCGTTAGCAGAAGGAAGAAGCGAGCGCCGAGCAGAAGAAAGTAGGGGAGAGGCCAATGCGTTAAATATGAGACGGCGATTAGGGTTTCTCTTTTCCTATAAATTTTTATGTTTATTTTTATTTTTTCATTTATATTATTGCTTCATCCTACTGGGGGTTTCTTCTCTTTGGTTGCTTGAAACAAATAAGGCTAAGCAAAGAGATCAACTGCTAGTCCACTTTGAATATTTTGGGCCTCCTCTCGACTTTACTCAATGAGAAGCCCAATTCGCCCGTGTTAAAAATTTTGAAGCATGACAAAAAAATAAATAAATAGCTGATTTACGAAACTATAAATTTTAAAATTATTTAAAATAAACTGTGTAAATTTTTAATTTACGAATGATTTGAAAAAAAATAATTTACTTAGTAAAAAAAAATTTAAAAATTTACGCGAAAAGAAATCTCTTTATTAGTCGTAAAAAGAACATTTGTCAAAATTTGCTACATTAGTATAGGGTTTATAATTCAGAAAACTACAGTATTAACCAGTATTATTGCTTGATTCTCTGGGTTTATGAGCAGAAAACTGTTGCACGTTTTACCATGTGGACATATCTTGGAGCAGATTCATCTGAAAATATAGGGGTTTGTAACCTCTTAATTGAATTTTTATTACTCTGAGAATAAATTTGAATTAATTCATCATTACTCTAGCTTTGTAACATCCCCTGCAGCAATCTTTATAAGGAGCTCTCCTCAACTATTTGGAGACACACAAAAATAATTAAAAAAAAAAAAAGCTTTGCTCCTCTTTTGCTCTCGTTTATGCTCTTATAGTGTTTTAGGCGTTCTGGTGATAGAGTAAAGGTGATGTTAGAGTTCGCTGGAGTGGTTCCTTCGTGTTGAAGATCTACTCGACGTCGTTGTATCTTGAGAAACATGCGCTCGCACGAAATTCAAGCACCCGTGACTGCTGCAGAACTCGACGTACTTTTCTTCATAATCCATTCTTCGTTTGAGGTTCAATTTAATTGTAACAATTTATATTTTCGTTGAAATTTCTAGTTAATAATATTCATCTTGTTCGTTTCTATTTTGCTTTATATATATATAAATTTTTTTTTTTCCTAACATGTCCCAGCAGCTGCAAGCAAGACTTGCCACTGCCGTACCAGCTCTATTACAAACCAACTCTAATCAGTCATGCCACAGGGCTAGCTGGCTCTAACTAACCAGCTTCTAACTAGTATTTAACAGAATGGAAAGGCGAATTTTGAGCATATATATAATAACAAAGTTCTATTGCATCTTTCTATCAAGCCTGGGTGACAAGATTAGAACTGTCACGAAGCAAGCGACTGTAGGTAAACAACAACAACAACAACAACAAAAGATGTATTAAATTACAAGCTTCGTGACTCGATCGAAAAGGAAAAAGCACATATGAAGGGACTGATGGCCCCAAGTGAATTTTCATTTTAAGCGTGACATGGAGATGTATGTCCGTGTTGCCTGCCGTTAGAGGGCAGAAATAAGTTTGGAAGGAACAGCATAATCAACTTGTTTCCTTATCTCACTGTGGAACCTCTCCAGTGATTCTTGAGGCAATGAAACCAGCGCCAAGACTCCCTCAACGCCCTCTTCATTCTTGTGTGTAATGAGTGAAGTCACCATTCCAGGAACCAATCCAGTTCCAGCTCTTGCCGGCCCTGCATATACAGCTTTGCCCCGACCAAAATCAACGTCGGTGAATCCCAAACGAGTCATGTCCGAAACAACAAATGCCCCTTCAGAACAGAACCCTCTGCGGCCGTTGACCTCGATGAAATCCAGAACAGAAGCTCGGTAGTCGTCCCCTGAGACACTCCTTTTCACTGCTGAGATCAGACTGGCAGCATAAGGCAGTGGTTTCTCAACAAGTTTAGCTGCCTGTGTGATGGCACAGGGAAACACAACGGCACTCCCATAGTAACCCTTTGGTAGAGATGGCTTGTATCTGAAGCGGGTGTCGATTGGGAAGAGAAGTCTCGTGGTGCAATTGGGACTAAGAAGGGTTCCACTTCTTGCTCGCCACAAGCAGGCAGCCACAGCATCAAAGGTCGGGACTTTCTTGCTGGGAAATTGGCTTTTCAGGAGTGATATGTCATTGCTTGAAAGGAATACGGATGTCTGCGCAAGGTGTTTGAATTGTGTCTCAGTCCAAGTGTTGGTGGGATTCATGTTGTCGGCAGTGTCGTATTCTGGATGAGGGTAGGAAATGGTGGGCGGCGAGCGGGGTTTTAGAATCTCTCTCCCCCAAGATGGCAATGAGGAAGGGGAGGATTTGGTTGGATCTTTGCAGAATTCCGACAGAGCCTGCATGAATTGGTATGCACCATAAGCATCGCATATGCAATGGTTGAAGGTGTAAGCCAGGACAAAGCCCCCACACCCAAGTCTCGTTACCTGCACCCACACAGATGATACTATTACAATTTGAAATTATAGTTTAACCCTTAAATTTTGTCAAATTTATAATTTGACCCCTAAACTTATTAAAAATTATAGTTTGATTCCTAAACTTTTTAAAATTACAGTTTGACTCCTATACTTTTTAAAATTACATTTTCCTCCTAAACTTTGTCAAATTACAATTTGCACCTAAACTTTTTTGAAAAAAAAATGAAAAACAGAAAGTTTACCAAACAAGGCAAGTAAAGCCCTAAGGACTGATCTTGGTACCAGCCCTAGAATGAAGGTATGATCCCAACGTTGGCTGTGGCATGTCGATCCGATCCTAACATTAAACCCGACACGTGGTCAAATCCCGACACCGGGCTCAACACACAGTCAAGTTCTAGCTTCAAGCCCGACACGTTGATACGATCTTGATGCCGATCTCATCTCGTTGATTCGGGCTCGACATCAAGCTCAAGTGATATTTTTTGTTTTTCTTTAAAAAAAAATGTAACAAAATTATTGTTATCAAACGGGTTTTTTTTTTTTTTTAAACAGAAAACATATGATAGTTACCCAACATGTTTTTTGTTTTAAAAAAAAGAAAAACAAAAACAAGAAAAAAATCTTTTACTTTCTTGTTTTAAAAAAAAAAAAAAAAAAAAACAAAACAAAAAAGTTAGCAAACAAACGGTTTTGGCGGGTTCTAAAAGCCGACAGTTTGAACAATTTGGCATGAGATAGAGGCGTTAATATTGTATCGCTCGTACTAGTAGTGATAGGTGGTAATCTATTTCAAAGTGACCTGCAAGCGAAGCAAGGGAGAATCCGTGATGAAGTTGGCGCCCCAGATGTCGTCAACAAGCAGCTTATCCCATTCAGGAAAGGGCGGCCTCAGCCCTCCACCTTCAGCCCCACGCAGCTCAGCCAACTTGACATCGGCACTGGCCTCGCGGAAGATCACACCTTCGCCATTGCATTCGACGACAAGCTTTCCGTTGTCCGCCTTACGGAGTCTGCCGGCGACGGGATAGTAGTGAACAAGAACCTTAGATAAGGCCTGTTTTATCAGCACAACCATGTCCTGATCATCACCATGACCACCTTGCATCTTGCTGATTGTGCTGCTAATTGGGGGATAAAAATGGACAAATGGTATGTGGTTTCTTAGGCCACTTTGGTCATCAATGTTTGACAAATATACAACTTCTCTCGGCCTTTGTTTCTCTGGTCGGATTAGCTCCGGGGGACTGACTTCAACCGAGTACTTTACCATTTTTCCCTTTTCTCTCTGTCTCTGGGGATAATTGCCTGTTTGTGGTGTGGCTCTAAGCTGCTAAACTAGTATGAGCTGATTATTCTATATATAACCAAAAAGCTAGAAAATTGACCTCTTTTTTTTCTCTATCTTAATATATTTCAAAAGGGTACGGGATGCTAAATTAGTTGTATCCATGTCACATTTCTACATTTGAGTTAATATAATTTTATTTTTAATGCTAAATTTAGTATGCGCCATATTTAGTCACCTAGTATATATAACATATATCACATGTTAAAACTGTTATATTTAAATTATTTTAAAATTAAAAATTTACTTTTACAAAGCATAATTATAACATTTGAAGTAATATTTATATTAAAGAAAAAAATATAATAACATGTTAAATAGTCATTTTCATATTTATAATGCCAAATATAATATTATTGTTCGGATGGTCTTGTATCTTACTTTATGTCTTATAGATTTTGAAATATATGATATGATAGGAAGTAAAGGCAAATGCAAAACTAAACGAAAGCAAACGAGTTATAATGATCGACAAAAACAAACCTATTTAACAGTAGGCAATGCATTAATTTGACAAAAATCAATATCAATTATTGTTAAGGCCTTGTCGTTCTCATCCCACTTGTGCGGTTGACATAAATTTCCCACTTCACGTGTCTCCAGATAGTACACCATGATAAGAAACTGAATTTATAATATTTATATATATTATATTATGTAATATAAACGTTGAATCAAACTAGAAAAAAAAAATATAGAATTTACTATAAATTTGGATTTTTATTCCTTATTATCAAGATATCATAATTATTTGACTAAAAAGGTTATGAATCAAGAGTAAAGGCTAAAAATCTTGACTCGTGCACTTTCAAACGGTATTTGTTAAGATTACCCAAAAACTAAACACCCCACGTGAGCATTAGGGTGGGCCATGAATTGCTATCTGCTATACAAACAAAAAAGGGTAATCGTGACAAATATTCCTTAAAAGTGCATGTGTTAGGATTTTTATCTTTTACTTTTGATTCATAACTTTTTTAATCAAATAATTACACTAACAAAAAGGTATTTATCAAGAATAAGAGGTAAAAATCCAGACTCATATACTATTAAAAGTAAATTCTGTAATTTTCTCAACAGAAAAATATGTAAAGATTAAAATGTTGAACATGAGAGAGGGGTTTCAAAAATATATTCACAAAAAATAAAGCATGTATATGATTGAGTGTTTTCAAACATTTTTGCAATTTTCAGCATACAACAGAATTCCCTGTTGAAGTGATTTGAGAATGCTACTTTTGGATAAGTTTTCCTTGACTGCTGATTACTGGTGGGAGCACTTGGGTATGAATTATTTTCGAAAAGCCAGAATTTACGAATTTCTCAAAATTGTTGTCAAATATATAGATATATATAGGAAAAGTTTTAAGTCGGACACCTGTGCATCCCAGAAAATTTAATTTTTTCGTATTTTTATATATATTGTTTATATATATGTGTGTAACATTCAATTTGTTAAAGTGTAATACTCAGAGTTACATGTGTTGGGTTACATTTTTTTGAATATTACACTTAAGCAAATCGAGTGGTACTGGTACACACATGAAAAAGCGATGTTACACAGAAATATGAGAAATTACATTTTGCCAGGTTGAATCGGGTGCCGGACATGTTTTCGCTTTCAATGGGTTTTAAGAGTATTAAAAATAACATTTTTCACATAATATAATTATTTTTTGTAAAATTTTAATTTATCACATAATGAAGACATGTGTTAAATTTCGGAAACCTCTTATCAATTTTAGTTTCAAAGACTAAAACTATTAAAGAATGAAAATTCGAGTAGTAATATGCTAAAAATAAAAGTTAAGGGAATATATATCGTGTTTGGAATTATTCTTGTTTTTTTACGTTTTTTGAGAAAAAAATTAAAACGATTCCAAAACGGCATTCGGTACAATTAACGATAAAAAACATAAATGAAAATGATTTTTTGGTTTAGTGTAATATGAAAGAGAAATGAAAAACGATTTTTACTTATTTTTCATTTTTTATTTTTGTTTTCTCTTCTCTCGAGCAGTGTGAGAGAGAGATTAATGGATTTTTAATATTGAAAATAATTTCTTAATAAAACTATCAAATGCATTTTTAAAAATGATTTCTGTCTGAGATTGAAAACGTTTTCCTTCATATTTTTTAAACGAATTCTAAACGAACTCATAATGTTTAAATAGAATTTTTTGAAAAACCCATGCAGATGAGAACAATAGTAGTGCAGGAGTTTCATGTTGGGAAGTAAGAGGAGACAATCTGTAACAGAAATGCGAAGACCTTTAACAAATCCCGTATCCTCGTGGTAGGAAAAAAAGAAAAAGCACAAAAGAAAAATCTACTTTGTGTACAAGAACTTCTCTAAGATGTCATATCCAAATCCAATAGATACTGCAAGGTTGTTCTAACCTTTCGCGAGTATAGTTATTTAACTATAAAAAATTATTGATTAAGAATAAAAGATAAAAATTTTAATCCGTACATTTTTAATGGGTATTTATTTTTTCATTTTAAAGTATTGGCGATGAGATTGGGCCACTTATCTCTTAATCTTGATTGTACTAGTAACCAGTTTAGGTTTATGATTATAAATACCGTCAGTTTTTAAGTGGTTTGTTGTTAGATCTTTAGCATAAACTTGAATGAAACAGGGCAAAACTATATATGTATGGCCTAACGGACGTAACAAAAAGGAAGGAATATTATAACAGAAAGAGAATTTTATGATCACAAGCCTGGTTTTATAAAATAGCTGTGGGCAGACAGTAGTATTCACATAACGCTGATGTTATTCAGAATTCTAGCTGCTTGCTGATGCTTGTGGGATATCTATTCTTCTGCTGAAGTCAGAAAGAGGTTTCTAATTTGCATTTTTTCATACATCTTAAATAACTGTTTGCCGCGTTTGTTAATCAGAAAATGTCTGTCTATATACACGCTATAAAATTGTCTCTATATATTGCTTCTTTAATAATATAGGCATTCTTTTACCGTGAGACTTTAAAAAAAAATTCAGTCGGAGCACTATTCTTTTACCTTTGTATTAATTTTTCAATGATCATATCTACAGCAAGAGTAGTTTCATATAGCGCGTTGTAAATTTTACATCTAACTCTTATTGTTAAAAAATTAATCTAACGGTTAAAAATGTAGATTCCACCGGTGGTTTTTATCTTTTTTTTTTTTTTTTTTTGGTGTTCCGGGGTAGAGGTTGCCCTGGGATAGGCAAAAAGTATATTGTCTTCAAAATAGCTTATTTAACTTTGAGAAGAGAAAGAAATTGAGCAAGAGAGAGAGAACTTCCACAATACATAACTCCTTACGGGTAATCGGTAAAGATAATTGCCAAACTAAACTAATAATTTGTGCGGCATGGCGGTAAACCTATATCATTGAATAATTAGTTTTAAAATTGTGATTTCAATATGATTTTTTTTTTCTATCATAGTATTAAATGCATTCTATTAAAGCTTTTTCTTTAAAAAAAATATCTACATATTAAAGTAGAAGTCCAATGATAACACCTTTTTTTAATTTTAATTAACTATCAGACTAGGGGTGTTATATGTTATAATTGTTCGTAAATATCATACGGTTCTATATTTAACGAAAGTCTTTTAATTGTATATGCAAAGTGTTCATAAATAGAAGATATAGGTTTCAATGATCATAGAATCACACTTGAGTAAAACGTATCATAAACAAACATTGTATGCGTGCTCTTGCATCTACTAGAGTTGTATTTTGTAGCCATATTTGGGCCAACAGTGTACTATTTTTAAGAACTTTTTAGTGTAACTAAACTCGAATTTTAAATTCAAATCTGTAAAATGAACGGGGCATTTGTGTTAGGTTTTAACAAAGGGTATTCTCTTGAGTCTTGGGTTAGGAATAGACCATGCTGCTGTCAGCACGTTCTATGCTTGGTCTGTGCTATCCGTTTGCCTGCTTCTTATACAAGTTTTGAATGTTTTAATAGATCTTGATAGTAGTATGCAGGAGATAAACAATGATTAATTATGCATTTATAGTAATACTTAAGCAGTCCAGGTGGATTCCATGAGCAGCTAAGTGGTCATTAATGACTAAATTTGGAGATGAGAAATAATTAATGACCAAATAGTAGTTACATCATGAAACAAGTAATATTAATTAAAGATGGGTGTTGAGGCATTATGACCTGTACTATAGCTAGTGACAGAGTTTCCAAGTTCATGGACGTAACTTTGTATAAGGAAGGAACAACAAAATCTCCCTTGAGACAAGGAATTGCATGCTCTGCTGATTCCAATGCCAGCTTTTATATAATTAAATGGCTCTTCTTTCACTAATTTTGCTATTCTCTTTTTCTCTGTCTGATGCTCAGAACCAAAAACATCATGTCTTGGGTTTGTACAAGATATTACTCAAATTTATTATTTAATTCATTACATTACACCTAGTTGACTTTGATCTAGCTAGAACCGTAATTTAATTACTTCTCATGTATATTAATTTGAATATATAATCCATCTATATATATATATATATACATTAATAATATTAGTGCTCTTAGTTGGCTCAAGGGAGTTAGGATTATGTTGACAGTGGCAGTGGCCATATGAAATTAGAACAAGTCAAAATGGGTAAGAAATTCATGGAAATATGAGGCTAAAAACTCTAGAATCAAGCAATATAAAAATCTAAAGAAATACTCAACAATATTTACCATAGGATTTGTTTTTTCACACTCTATACCCCAAAATTACACGACACACTTGGAAAGAAATCTTCTGTGTACGTACCTACACACACACACACCTATATATATACATATAATATCTGAATATAGATACAAAGAGATTATATACATACACATATATTTATAACTCCCATGATGATCATGGGCATCAAAGTTGCGTGAAGCCATGAAGATAAAGTATGCTATTTGACGATGGCCAGCTTACAATTAGGAATATAGTATATAGATTAGGAATGAAAATAATACTATTAAAAATAGGGACGAGTCCACGTGACGAAACCACTAGGAAACAAGGCAGGAAGCTACCACTGGAAGAAGAAAAAAAAAATAGTCCTTCAGCTTCCTCAAAATTGGACAATGGGATGAGACTGTCTTTATTATTATTATTATTATTATTATTATAGCAATTATTATTATTATAACAATTATTATTATATGAGTATTAATATTAATAGAAGAATCTCTCAAGACGTGAGGTTTGCGAAAGATCCGGCGATCCTTTTGCTTCATTTTCATCTTCTCTTTGATTTACCCTTTCTCCGCCAGCTAACAATCCCATTGCATCCATTAATTACTTATTAATATATTCAACTAGTTCATACCCATCTATATTTCTTAATTAATTCCTATACATGGTTATATTATTATTATTATTTTTTTTTTAATTTGTAATTCCCATGACAATTAAGACTTTCTAACTACTCTCTGAAAGAGTATACTATACTGATCGTACACGTATATTGATTACTTTTTCTAATTTAATAATAATAATAATAATAAAACCCATAAGTTATATTAAATATACTACGTATAGTAATCAGACCCATGACTAACAATCAATATTCTTATATAATAATAACACCCTCTTAATCATAATATAATGCCTACAAATAGTCTTGGCCGTGAGCTAACTCGTTCATCAAGACATATATCACTAGTACTTTTTGAGCGAGCGAGGTAGCTAGGTAGCTTTTAGACTTAATTAGCTAGTACAAAACCTTCAACCTCCATATTACCAATATATTCACAAAATTATTTTCTCTTAATTTAATTTGTGTCATCAATGGCACTAGCCAAGGAAAGATCAATCCCTCATGAAATTCCCAGCTATAATTCAGCTGAGGATCAAAGGAGCACTAATATCAACGGTGTTCCGTTAGCGAGTATTAATCGTCTGCTGGATGCTCATGAATCAGTCATAAACTTCAGCAGTCTGATCTTGAGTAGTAGTAGTAGCAGTGATCAGTCTTTCCTTAGCTTTGAGCAAAAAGATCATACTCAGGAATACAAATATCACAGCTATGATGATCACAATCGCAGCAGGTTCAGCGCTGGTTTCAATTGCTTTCAAACAGCTTCTGATTATGCCTCTTCCAAGCAGGGAAATCATGATCCGCAATATTCAGGAGATCATCATGCAGGATCATACGCCTGGCTGTACTCCGAATCAACTGTCACCACCGATAGCTTTGACGAATCTGGAACGCAAGATCAATCTGCAGGCCTGATCAATAAGCGTCCTCATATGGTAGTGTTATATACGTAAATTTTGTTTCTCTTGTTATCCACTACTTGATTGTGGTGGTATGTAACTGATCAGGTTTTTGTTCTCTTCACATGTTGCTCGTTTTTTATAATTGGACCCTTAAAATTATATTGGTTTCTTTTTAATTAAGCAAATAAACTAGTAATACAAGATATAAATAATTAAGTGATCATAAGAGTATAACTGCTGCAGGGAGAGAGGACTGCAGAAGCTGTTAAGAAGCAATGCAGCAGTAATAATAAGAAGCCTAAAGTACACAAGTCAAGTCCCTCCAAGGACCCCCAAAGTATTGCGGCTAAGGTAATCGCATGCCTTTGTCTTGAGTCATCTATTTCATTAATCCATAAACATATAACAGCAAAACGTACGTTTTATAGTAGTAGATCAAGTAAAAAGGGAAAGAAATCATAGAAATTTATGATGACGATCAAGAAATGTTTGTATCCTTCTTCAGAACCGGCGAGAGAGGATAAGCGAGCGGCTTAAGATACTTCAAGAATTGATACCCAATGGCTCCAAGGTAGATTTTTGTTGCCAATCACATGTTACTATGGTTCATGTTTCGTCTATATATATTAATAAGATGTAAAGTAAAAGTTCCATTAAATTACCTTATAAATTAAGTAAATTGTTATGCAGGTCGATTTGGTAACCATGTTAGAAAAAGCCATTGGTTATGTCAAATTTCTTCAATTGCAAGTTAAGGTATCTATTTTTTCTTTTTTTTTTTTTCAATAAAATCTCAGCCCATAAATGTACTAATTGATTCCATATGATCACATATATCAAACTTTTCTTCTTCTTTTTTCTTAAATGTACCACAACATATTGTAGCGAATTTTCGTTTAATTACATCGGTATATATAGGTGCTGGCAACAGATGAATTTTGGCCAGTTCAAGGTGGGAAAGCTCCTGATATTTCTCAAGTGAGGGAAGCCATTGACGCCATGCTCTCATCTCAGAGAGACACAAGTTCCAGCTCCCACTAGCACCCTTATTTATAATGATATAAACAAGCAATAAACAAACACTTCATCTCAATTAAGATGATCACCAACGAGAATCTTTAAAGCATGAGAGGATAAGTTCATGTTGGGAAGTTAGTGATGTTTGGGTAAAAAATGAAAAAAAAATATTTCTAGTCAACAATATTTCTGATCTGCTAAATTTGTTTTAGTTATTACAAAAATCTTGTAATATTTGAGTTGTTGTATTTAATTTTAATGTAACTGAAGCTGAGACTGAAACCTAATCCCAGCTTCCAGCTTTGATCGAAAATCTTTTTGTTACTACTCTTGTTTAGAAAGATGATGGTCTAAATTAATATAAGCTAGCTAGCTAGATTCTGATAACATGCTATATGTATTCTAACATAATGAACGAATTTTGTTAATTATCTTCTGTATCGGTTTCTAATAATATGTTATTATGAGTGCATTTGTTAGTGCTTCTCGGAGGTCAAAATCATTTCTCTAGTCATCAGAAACTGATAATAGTGTTTGGTAAAAACTATAACAAGTGATTTTTAAAGAATTTTTGAAGAATCCACATCCGAAATCAGAAGCAGCCCAAAAGCAACTTTGACTTTTAGATTGTGCGGGAATCAGCATAGTACAATTAATGATTATCAACAAAATTATATTAAATAATTAATTATTAATTACTAATTATATTATATATTAATTAATAATTAATAAATAGATATACTTAATAACTAATAAATAGATAATAATTACTTAACTATTAATTAAATATTAATTTATTACTATTAAGTTTTTAATTTTATTAAAAAAATAATAAATAATATATTAATTTTTTATTTAATTAAAGATTAATTGTCAAAAATTATTATATAACATACTAACAATAAAACAAGTAATAATAAGTTATTAAATAAATAATAAATAATTAATATATCAATCATATATTACGTTAATTATAATCTATTAATTAGTAAATAGTTAGTAAATAAAAAATAAATAGTAATTACTCAATTAATAATTAATATTAAATTATAATTATCAATATGTAATAAGTTAATCAATAATAATTAATAATTAATAATTAGTAATTAATTATTATAAAAATAATAATTACCAAAAATTGATCAGGTGATATATCAAATAATAGATTATTAATAAACATTAGTAATTAATTAACTAATTATTTAATTATGTAACTAAAAGTTAATAATTTAAGTAGTAAAAAGAATATTTATAAATTATGTATATACTAATTATTTTTCTTAATACACTAATTAATTATTTATAATCTAATAAATATGAGTACATAGTTTAATTACTAATTTACTCATTAATAATAATTTATCCATTATCAATTATTAATTAATTTATATATTAATTTAAGATTATTAATTACGATCATCTTAACTACCCACAGTAATTAGACTTCACAATTTATCAAACGTTATTACACTACTTTTGGAACCAGCAACACTTGTATAATTACAGTTTATCAAACACTCAACTGCTTTTTATAACAATTATTTTTTTCTTCAGCACAGTTAAAAGTAATTTTTTTTAAATCTACAACACTACCAAACTGGTCCTATATCTTCATTCCTAATACCATTAGACTATTTGGGAAACTTTTACTCTGGTTCCTAGGCTTGAACAGAAAACTTGGACATAAATTCAAGTTTTCGTGAGAAAATGTTATAATAAAAATATTTAAAATGTGATTTCAACCTATGAAATGAATATAAACCAACAAGCTCAGAAGGGAACAAATAATTGGGAAAATCATGTTTTCATGAATAGAATGTTTGACCACCAAATAAAATACTTGTAATTAATCAACTGCGGAATAGAATGAAGTCTCAGATGTATACTCGGATTTCCCAATTTAACCTACATACTTCTAAAGAGGTTAGGACCGCGTAAGTTGTTTGGGGTTTTTAGCCCTTCGACTCATTGTAGTTTGACACTTTCATTTTTAAATGTTTTTTTTTTTTTGGTAATTTAGTACCTAAATTTCTAAAGAGTAGCAATTAACTCCCATCATATTAATGGGATAAAATCTCTACAAAATTATTGAACTAAGTCATCTTGTTTAGTTGTATTTTTGAGTTATGATGATTTGAGTGTAGATTTTAAGTTGAATTTGAGTTATAACAGACACTCATGGAGAGACACATTACAGTACTTCTATGCTTCTAGCTGGAATCTTATTAAAAATGGGAGCGTATGGATTGGTTCGAATCGAGTTAAAATTGTAACTTGAATTTGTGTTTGGTTGTGTACATTAGAGTTATGGTTTGAGATGAGAATATTTTTGAGTTTGTATTTTGGTGGGTCAAAACTTGAGTTTGTATTTAGATAATATTTTAATAAAAACTCAATGATGATGAAAAATTTGTATAGGGTATATAGGTGGAGTTTTATTCATCTTTTTGTTGTGAACGCATAAAAAAATCATCTTAATAGGAATTAAAATAAAAATGTTATAGCATTTCTAATAATAGAAAAATATTCTTCATTAACTTGAGTTTGAGTTTAAGAACTTGAGTTGAAGAGGAAACTTGAACTCAAGTTAAAACTCAAGTTCAATTCAAATTTTACAAAAGAACATGAATTTAAATAAGATTGTAATTTGAGTTCAAATTTTGTTTGAGTTTGGGTGTAAACAAACAAACCTAAATTCCCAATTCTGAAGGTAGAATCGGTCTTTCCAGTCAATGCCGCCAACAAAATTCAAACTAATTAACTAGTTAATTAGTACGCTATTTTATCAGATGTTTTAATTAACTATTTATTTTGTAATTAGTCATATAAAACACATACATTACAGGAAAAACATCATGTAGCAACCATTAAAAATGATCATTAGGTTTAACAACAACGATGGCAAACAACTCAGTTGCCTTCAAATGTTGACATTTACAACGGTTTTCTGAAGCTGTCAATAAAAGTTTTCGAAATGGATACCATAATTATCATGTGTCGCGCGCATTGTAGAAACATCATTTTATCATTGTTTTTCTTAGATATTAACGGTCGTAAAACGTGCTATACTAAAATCATAGTTTTCATGAGAGGTCTCTGAACTTTTTCTCTTTTTACAATTAGTCTCTGTAGCGAAAATTGTTATACATCTGAAGCCCTTAGTAACTCTTTAATAAGTGTCTCAAGTTCAGTCCTCCTCTGTTAAAATAACATATGCCTTTCTAGGTTTCTCTGGTGTGCCAGGTGGGGCAGGGATATATAGAGGAGAAACGGCTGATGCGACTAGCTATAAGAAGAATTTTTTTATGCATATTTGTTACATGCATGAAAGTTATAATTGATTATCATAAAATTATATGATCTGGAAAATGAAGTGCTTAGCAATTGCCAGTTTTAATATAATTATTTTCGTGAGGAAAGAAAAGGAGGGGATCACGAGTATTGGTGGCAACATTAGTATAATCATATATAAAAATGCATACATATATATATATATAGTAGTTCACTTGTGTATAACGATTAAAAGCCAGCCCTCCTTGTTATTTATTTATTTAAATTAGTAACTCATATTATAGTTGACCTAAGCTTGTTATGATCATTATCTCTTATTTATTGTTTACATATATACAAAATAATATTATTGATAGTAGAGGCTAGCTAGCAAATTTAATCGCTTGAATCTGATCTCCTTCCCATGTTCATATCGTTCAATCAAAGATGCAGCAATATATGTTTTCTACTACTAACTAATCACTCACGCAACACATGGGCGCAATTATTGCATGGTAGATTATACGTACGACTACGAGAGCCTCAAATCCATTATATCTATACATGGATCCAAGTAATGTGCATGCACTTTCGTCTCCGTGTGTGTGTGTCTCTCTCTCTCTCTCTCTCTCTCTCTCTCTCTATATATATATATATGCATGGTTACTCTTACTTCTTTTATTTATTTATTTATTTATTTCTTACTTTTGCCTATGTACGTAATGTATACATGGTTAGTAGTTTGTATCATGAAGAATTCAATTTCTATGTCCTTTTAAAAAATATATATTCGTATGTTCAAATTTCAATTTGTTCTCTCGTTGTAAAAAAGAGGGGGACCATTGGGCACGTGTGAGTTTTAATAAGAATCACATGGGTAATAACCTTATCACATGCTCAATCCCATAAATATCGCTATAAACATTCCCGAAGAGATCGAAGCTGCGTAAAAAATGTACCCAAACAACTTGTAGCATTGTTTGTTGGAATGGAATTGGATTCCGTTAATATTAATGTGGTGAATCTGCAGTTTGGAATTTCATGCAGGGATTCACAAAAACAGGATAAGTCTTTGTGTTAATTTGTTAACAAAGCATCGTATAAAAGCATTCACATTTTCTTGTTCCCTCATTGATAAACCACTCTATTATATTATAGTTTATTAAAGCCAATGGTTCATCAGCACTTGTCTTTCTGACTGCCTCCTATACTATATTTAATAACGTTATAGATATACAAATACATATATAAGCTCCAGTATTATAGGGATATTTACATTTTTATAGGTTGTGTTTTGGATTTATTTAAAAATTATATATTTATTTTTTAATTATTTCATTAAATATATACCTTTAAATTAGATTTAATACTCAAAGTTATATCTTTTCACAGTCAACTCTTGATTTTAAACATAAATACCTAAAGTACCCTTAGGCCTCGTTCGTTTTGCTAATTCGAGTTTTGCTACAGTAAAAAGCTCTCACAAACAGTCACATCTAACTTTTTTGCTACAGTAAAAAGTTCTCACATAAAATCATAACTCAACTCGAATTCTAAACTCGAATCAGCGAAACGAACGAGGCATTGAATAAAAATGAAAAAAGAAAAAAAACTAAAAAAACTTTAAAATTATGGTTTTAACCTTAAAAATCCAAAATAACATTGAAATGGTTTTCTTTTTTTGTATTTTTATTTTTTGTAGTGTTGGAAAGTTTTTATTTTATTTTCTCTCTTTTTCTTAAGGATAATTTGGT